TGAGAAGGAGGACACAGGACACTGCCAGACCTGACCCCGTGCCTGCAGACCTGACCCATTCCTGAGAGGCCCTGGTCATTCCAGCAAGACTGAGCCCAGTCCACGGGGCTCAACCCAGCCTCTGAAGGTCACTGATCCGCTGGTGGAGGCACAGCCCTCAGTCCCTAATCATCTCTTAGGATCACACCTGGTCTGACCACTTCCTGTGTTACAAAGGAATTCTATTTCCCCGAGGGCTTCAGAGGGCATTCGTGTCCTAGTGATACCTCCAAATATGATACAAGGGAAATACTGTAATTCCCAGCTTCCAAGTTTGTGTTCCCAAAACTGAAGACTACGTTCTAAGGAACAAAGGTGGTCAAGAGTAGGAAGTATTGACTCTGAGGGAGAGACACAGCGCTTGAGAGGCAGGAGGGGTCCCCAGTGGTATGGCAGGGACCCCACTTCCCAGAGGAAGTTTTATGGAACACAAGCATGAGAGTGCAATGTGGGTCACAGCTATGATCCCCAGTAAGATTACCAGCATAGCTGCTTAGGTGACATTGATCCAGTGAGGAAGCAAATCACAAAGCAAGTACACATGGAAAGAACAAAAAACCTGTCAGTCCCCTGGTTTTGGTTATCTTCTGAGGTGACTGATGTCTATCTAGACTTTATTAGACCAGGTGTGACCACTTATCTCAGGCCTGGTTGTTCCACCTTTATCTTGAGGCCTGGCCTCCCACAGGTGAGCCTCCGGGCACAATGTAATGAATTTCATTTTGCACCAAATGTTGAGGGCCTGGCCCTGTCTGCCCGTCTGTCTGTGATATTTCTACCCCACTTAGCTGCCTGCAATCATAGTGTACAGTTGTTTGGATCTGGTTGGAAGCACTCAGTGCATTTTAGATGATGCCAAATAGATCAGCACATGTCTGATTTTGAAATAAACCCAGAAAGATCCTTTAGCTCATTAAAAGGCACTGGGAAAATTGTTTTGCTTCAGCTTGAGTTCTTTGGGAGAGATGGGGAGCATGGATCACGGTACCCCAGACATCAATTCCCCTGCTACGCACTCCACAGTTCTCAGGGAGCTCGGGCTGTGCTCCCAAGGAGCAGATGGACCTCAGCGGCCCATGTCCCTCCCTGTGTTTTCCTCTGAGCCAGCTCCATGCAGGGGACAGGTGATTCCAGCAACTCTGATGCCTGCGTGTTTCCTGCATGTGTGGTCACAGTCCTGTATGCACAGAGATAACAAGACGGGAGGACGAGGAGCCGTCTCAGCGCCCTTGGAAGCCTCAGCTGTGTTGTAGAATTCACAAGGACCCCAGCAGCTTGGCTATTTCAGAACCAGAGCCTCCGGGGTGTCAGTGACGAATGAGGGCAGCTTGGCAGCAGACCATGCCCCGGACACTCCCGTCCCACTCCTGCGTTCGCATCCTGGTGGCAGGTGCCGTGTTTGCTCAGCTATTTTCTGCCCTGGTGGAAAGAACAGCAGAGCTGCTGTGTGTTTGCATAAGGGCTCTCATGGTGCCCAGCTTGTGTGTTTAGCGTGCGAACTTCTGTGCACTTCTGCTAGTGAGAAGGAGACTGGAGAGGGAGCCCTCAGGAAAGATGAGGGACTGAAAGCTGTGCTGGCCTTCCCAGACCCTGGGGGACCAAGGCTTTCTGCTTAGCGCCTGCCTGGCTTGAGGCCTGGGGTGCTCTGTGCTGGGCTTTATGGGGCTCTCCGGTGCTTCTGTGCTTTACAGCTCAGGGTCACCCGGGAAGCAGAACACAGGGAGGAACCTGGCCAGTGGTGGGAGCTGGCTGACTTTCCCTGTGCAGGAGGACAGCAGTCAGGGGACAGCCTCAGGCCACGCACAGGGCCTGGAGCAGACACCAGTGGGCTGTCAGCTCTGCAGGCTCCAGGCTGGGCAGGGCTGAGGATGACCATTTGTCCCCAGGCTTCGAGCAGAGGGAGCAGCTGTCTGTGCAATGGAAGCATGGAGGTCATGTGAGGGAGGTGGGGTGCAGTCATCCGAGGGAGACAGGTCATGACTCTGAACTCCCAGGCACAGCAGTGTGGATTTGGGGCTGGGTCCCAGCGTCACTCTTTGTTTTCAGGTGATTCTCAAGTGTCCTTGGGCCTGATACGCACTGTGTGCTGGCTCCAGGTGGAGCCCAGTGGTGCACCACAGGCCCTTGGGCCTAAGGCCCCATGAGTGTCCCTTGCTGGTCTTTTGGAATGGAGGGAGTTGGGTTCTGACTGAATACTAGGTGTCACGCGTGGTTTGTGCGTGTGTTACTTTGGACTTGGTTCTCATGTGCTTTCTAGTTAAACACACAACAGGGCACAGTGTGATATAGCACAACTCAGCATAGCACATTGCAGTCTGTCACCGCAGCCGACACAGCGAGAGGGGGAAGCGCGACGTGGTGTCATGTCCGCAGTGTTGCAGGGGACTGCAGCACACACACACAGCACGACCCATAACAACCCAGCACAGCACAGCACAGCAGCCAGGGCTTCTGTACTTCCGTTTCCTTGTGGCTTGTGCTATTAATCTCAGTAACAACAGTGCTCAGAATTTTATCTGGAAAAGTCTAAGGGCTGAGGTCTGTGCTAACTCATGCTGACGGACCTGGGAGAGAACAGGGAGATGCCTATGGCAGACTGGGGTGCAGAGCCCACAGTGGCGAGGCGCTGGGCAGGAGAAGGAGCTCTGGGGGCTGTGGGCACCCCTGCACAGGTGAGGGGTCAGGGGAGGTGCCTGCCTGACCGGATGCACCAGGGCTGACATGCTTCGTGTTCCTGAGTGGTTAGGGCGGGAATAACTGTGCTGTAACAGATCTGGTTGGCAGGATCTGCTAAAGCTAAGCAAATGAACGCCCAGGACTCAGCAGCCCCGCTCCTCACAGAGGCGGAAGTTGTGTGAGGGCGTTGGTCAACAAACCTCGATGAGATCTGTGATCACAAACCATGATCTCTCTGAATAATGGAATAGCATTTATCCCCGAAAAGGAAGAGAATATTGATACCTGCTGCATCACCGACGAACGTTAAAAACAAGGCAGACAGTTGTCTAAAACATCACTTATTGTCTGGCTCTGTCTGCAGAGAATGACTAAATTCAAGGAGGCAGACAGCAGGGGGGCAGTCATCTGGGGATGGAGCTGGAGCTGCCCAGTGTGGAAGGGGGCCATGGTGCCAAGGAGAGTAGAGGTCTATTTGGGAGCTTGAGAGTGTTTCAGGACCAAATTCCACAGAACTATTTGCTTTAAAATGGTTGGTTTTGTGTCCTGCTCAGCTTCTCCCCTGATAGTAACAGCCAGCCGGAATAACCCGCCTGTCCATCAGCCACGGAGCAGAGAAGCTGCAGCCTTTGTCCCTGCTGGGTACAGACAGAGGAGCACGTGTCTGCTCTGTGTGACCCTGGGAGTCCCCAGAGAGACTTCTCTGGGCTGCTGCAGCCAGCACAGAGCTGCACTCCTGGGTGTGTATCCCGTCACCCGGGTCCCCGCAGATGTACAGGCTGAGCCTCAGGGTCTCCCGCTGCAGTGACACTTATCCCTTGGGGCTACACGCAGATGAGGAGGAGTCCAAGGAACCCAAAGCCACTGAGCTTCTGCTTGCAGATGCTGTGAGTTGGCTCACGTAGACAGGAAACATCTGCACCCCAGCGCAGACAGAAGAGCACCTACAAAGTAAGCACTCTGTGGGCAGGCGGCTGCCTGGAGCCCTAGCATCCTGGGAGGCTGGAGGAGGTGGATCACAAGTGTGTGCCCACCCTGGGCAACTTTGCAAGACCTTGTCTCAAAAACTGAAAAACCAAAGGGCTGGGTAGGTGAAGCTGTAGCCAGTAGTAGCTCAGTGCCAAGGACCTGTGTTCAACTTTGAGTACGGCTCAAACAAACAAGAACAAAACAGAAAAACAGTGCACACTTGTGATGCCCTGGGCCAGGTGGCACGTTCAGTGACACAAACAGCCTGCCTTGGCATATGAGGTCAGAGATTCACCACCCTAGGCAGTGAAACTGAAGCTGGTGTCTCTGCAGCCCTGAGTACTTTCTAGTACAAAACACTCTGTACCCCGATCTCCTGTCTCTGGGAGAGCCTTGAGTCCTAGCTCAGCAGTGGCACAGGGGCCGTCCTGCTGGGTGACACAGGGGCACCACCCAGCATGGCCCTTACCAGCCAAGGCTCTTTGAGCAAGTGCTTGGGGCTTCTCTGGGGCCTGTAACTCCCTGGTCCTGTGGAAATTCAGTGATGTGGGCACGGCTTTGCCTAAAACTGAGGAGATTCTGCCCAAAACAGGTGGCCTCAGAGCTGCACGCTGGCCTGTGGACGCCCTGACCTCTAGAATCCAGCTATGCAGATGGGGCTAACAGCTGACCCAGTGCTGGAATGTCACCTGCTGGCCTTGGCACATGAGTCCCCCTCACTTGGTAGTAACCCCATTTCCCTGGAACACGGAAGTTCTGTCCTGCCTGGGTCTGGCCCTGGACACCTGGGCCTCAACAGGGCTCCTTTCAGCCCCACCCATGCTCAGCAGGTGGTGTTACCTAACCAAGGGCCACAAGGGTGGATGCCGGTGAGCTGTCCACCCGAGGGACACAGGGCCGCTCACTCACCTGGCTTCCACCCATGTCTTCCAGCTCCGGGCAGCCATAGAGAGCAAATCCAGGGGCAGGCTGCCACCAATTGACAGGGGAAGCTGTGTAAGGCAGTGGGCTACTCGACTGACTGGCCAGGGCAGGGCAGGGTTTGGGGATCCCGGGAGAGGCCTGGATTCTACAACTGAAAACTAAATGAGAGAACATGCCAGGCAGCCAGGCTGGGACACATCCTGTATTGTTCCAGTCCCCAAGTGGAAATCATGGCCCTGCTCCCCAACTTCTGTTGCCAAGATTATGTGAGGACACGGCTGTGACCTCTTTTGACCCAGCTTCTCTGACTGGCTCTGTGGGTGGAGTCCCAGGAACTAATAAGGGAGGGCCTCCTAGAGTAGCCTGTTACTGTCCACAGAGATACAGGCTGGCCAGCCCAGAGCCCCAGGAACCAGGCAAGCACTCTGTGACCTAAATGAACTCTTTACTATTTGCCAGCTGGGCAGGCAGTTCTGTGGTAACCAAGAAGTCCTTCCCATGGCCTGAGGTCTTGCTGCTTACTAGAAATCGGACTCCTCTTGTACGTCCTCCAGAGGAACACCCCTCTCCCAGGGCTGCTGTGGGTCCCTTGTGTGCTCTACCCCATTTATTCTCTCTCTTCTATTTCACTCAGCTTCCCACAGGAGGCATCAGCAGCCCTGAATCTTATGCAACCCCCCCAAGTCCTCCTCCTGCCACCAACTGTGAGGTATGTGGCTGGGGCCTGCGGCTGCTGCACACACTGGTCTTCCGAGCTGTCACACTTGTGCTAGTGGCAGGGGAGGCATTTCAGCTCAGCATCCTTCAAAGTCAGAAGTCCCAGCATCACCACATCTCTTGAAGAGGTGCTTCCTTTGTGTCTGCTCAGCGTCCACCCAACCTCAGGGCAGTTTATGCTGATGATGCAGGTGAGATCTGGTTTGCCCAAGGCCGGGACATGTTACTGTGGAGACGTGAGCTCCAGGACGTCCCCACCGAGGGGCTTCTGTGCTGTAGACCAGGTCAATAGGTTGCAGAGCATTGGGTTCAATGACACTGCGGCATCCTGGCTGGGCCCTGAGAGGGCAAGGGAGTTTGTACCAGCTCACCAGAAAGGGTGCAGGGCCCAGAAACACTTAGCTCAGCAAGAGTGGGGTAAAGAGCAGTGAGAAAAGGAGAGATTTAAAAAGGTCTGGTTACAAAGAGGAGCGGTGGTGGAGAAACCAGTGGGTCCCTCCAGCTCCAAGTCCAGCATGCTGCCCGCCTCCAGGGATGGCTCGCAGCTTTCTACTTCTCTTTCTGCATCATGTGCGGGTCTGTGTTTGGCAGCCACCAGGCCTTGGAGGAATAGCCTGTGTGGATGGTTAGTTCCTGAGCAGAGGGACATCCCAGCAGGTGGCCAGTGGGATGGAGTCTGAGGGGTGACACCTTGGAGTGGACTCACTCCCTGTCAGCCTCCTTTACACCTGTGTGTGTATGAGTCCTTGCTCTCTCACCCTACACTCTTTGTGCTTTTTCCTCCACTGGGCACGAACACAGCGCTCAGTTCTTAGCTTCTTGGCACTTTGTCTTGAAGTGCACGTGGCTGCCTCCACTTCTGCTCCACACGTGACTCCAGCTGATCTCCTTTGCATTTCACCAAGAGCACCAAGGCCCTCACCCATGGAGCACGGTGACTGAGCAACAACGGTGACTGGGGTACGTTACCCTCCAATCGTACCTTTAGGACGCTAGCCTGGGCTCCAGTGTGATGCCTTTAAATTTGGGTGTTGATGTTCCTGGAAACAGGGTCTTTAAAAAAGTGTTTCTGTTAATGTGAGATCAATAGCAGAGACCTAACACAAAGGACTGCTGCCCAATCAGGAGAGCAGGACACAGTCACACTCAGGAGGGCAACTGTATGAGGACACAGAGAGAGGAGACCACCCAGCAGCCAAGGAGGGAGCTCCAGGGGGGACCCTCCTCACAAGCACTGTGATCTCAGACTGTTCTCCCCACAACCGTGAGCCTCCCCATCTGCAGTACTGCACCCAGGTGGCCTGAGCTGTTACACACAGACCCTGTTGGGTGAAGCTATGTCCCTGTTGAATGACAGGGAGGCTGCCAAATGAGCCACAAGTCTCTCAGCACACCCTGGCCACCTTCACCAGAGGCTGGGACCCTTTTTCCCAGCTCACTGCCACTTTAAGGTTATATTTGTGGTCAAGTTACCTCAAGGCAAAAGCCCCCAAATCTTAGTCCCAGCTTAGCACTCAGCCCAGAGTTTTGATCCATGTATTCCTTCCTTAAAAATCAATTATTTTGGAAGATATCAAAGAAAGTTTCAAATGATGGGTGCATAGAAGAGAGGGATGAGCCAGAAACCCCCTCTCTCTGGCCTGGGGACTCCTGGGGACACTGCAGAACAAGCCCTGGGCTCTCTGTGGCTGGCCTCTCAATAGACTCGGGTGCTGTCTCTGGACAGAAGCAAGGTGACACCTCAGAGAATGGAGGGTGGAGGAGGGAGTGTACCCTACTCCCAGCCTCAGGACATCTAGCTTTGTCCTAGCGGAGCACCAGGAAGTGAAACTGGTAGCCAGGAAAGGCCTGAAGAGACCAGGAAGCTGTGAAGAATGTTCAAGCTGAGCACTGTGGAGCCCTCAGCCAGAGGGATGGGCCATGGGCCCTTGCTGTGCCGGAAGAGGCTGCTCCCGCCCCTTTAGCGCTTAAGGATCCTGTGAGCAGCAGGCCTAGACAGGGAGGCCAACTCCAGATAAAAGCAAGATGCACAACCAGCCTGAGCTGGAGAGGCAGGGCACCAGGGTTTCCCTGCAGAGCTCTGAAGGTCTAAATTCCTCCTCCTGTCCTGCAGGCCGCTGCAGCACCGTGGGGTGCACAGGAGGGCTGGTGCAGGGCGTGCATCCAGTGACAGGACTGGGCACAGAGAGCTTAATAGCCTCTTGGCAAAGCTGGCAGGGCTGGAGGCTGCTGGGCACGGACGTTTCAGCATCTGAGACTACTCAAGTGAGGAAGAAGAGAAAGCACAGGCAGTCGTTCAGCTTGATTTGCAAGATCACATCACCACCAGGTCCCTGCCTGTGCAGAGAGAGCCTTGGCCTCCCTCACCCTTTTTTTAAAGTCTACACTTTGATGAGGACAATCCAGACGCAGGGTGACCCTGCAGGGTGTGGCTTTCAAACTGCATGTAAGGGAGCTGTGAGTAGGGCATAGAACCAGGTTGCTGAGAGTGGTCTTTATTTTACAGAAAAGTGGAAGGGCACGCATGGCAGAAAGGCAGCGTGTGCCACACCCTGCCAGTTGCCCATCCATCCTGAGATGTCACACAGCCCCCTTGGGTCTTGGTGTCCAGGCCTGGACTGTGCTTCCAGGCTGCCCCAGTCTGGAAGCCTCCTCCCTCCCATGCAGAGTTGCCCCAAGTCCTGCCCAGCTCTCTGCCTCTCGGGTGCACACTCCAAAGCCACCTCCGCCTAGACCTCTGTCTGGATGGACACTGTCCCTTTTGCTTTGACCTCTGCTCCTTGCATTGTTTTCTCAGTACTTTGTGGCCATGTGACCTTCACTGCGATCTGACTCCCTGCTGGATGATCACCTCCACCAAGTGACAAGCTTCATCGGGGACATCCCTGCCATATGTGTGCAAACAGCCGTGCTGGACACAGGGCAGACACCCAGTAAGTGCTTGTTGAAGGAATGAGTGAAAACTGAAATTGGGGATCATCCTAATGTGAGATCAAATAAAAGGACACAAGCACAGAGTGAGTACTTACTCCCTGATCACCGGTCATGGTATTGCTAACCTTTCCCTGAATTCCTGGGCCATCTGTTGCTTTTAAAGTTTTAAAACAAGTCTTCCCAGAAAAGAAACATGTTCTGTGTTCCACAGCAAGCTAGAATTTCTGCGGTGAGGGTATGGCCCCTGTGAAAGCTGAAACTACAATTGCATCTGCCTGGAGAACTTTGAGGAGGAGAAGGAGGTGTGACTGGTCTCCAGTAGTCCCCTGCAGGAATCTGGGTGTGGGGCTGGGAGGCAGCCGTCCCTCCCGCACTTTCTGGATCATGCGAGCTGCAGGGTCCACAGTTCTTTCTGAAGATCTCATGGGAAAGGTATTTCAAGCATGTGCTGAATACTTGCAAATCCACAAATTCTTTGGGATCCCCTCAGTTCATTTTTAGAACACTGTGAGCTTCCCTATTTGGAAAGGACTTGGGAAAGGAGTCCCTGGATGCCAGGAGTGGCTGTGTGTCAACGGGGAACTATTTCTTTCTCTTGTATCAGCTTAATAATAGACGTGCTGCATAGTCAGAGTACATCGCTAAATTTAACCTGTGTGTCACAGCTCAGGCATGGACGATGAGGTCTCTTACCTGGGAAGGAGCTGGGGCACAAACCAAAGTGTCTCTGGAATGTGATGGAGGTGTCCTGGCCTCTCCCTGGCAAGAGACAAGCATTTGTTTCCACTTGTCGTGGGAACAAAATCTGGATTGACTGAAACTGGCTGCTTGGTTCTCTTTGCTAAGGGGCAAAATATTTCTCAGTGTGTCTCATGGATGCATGTGATGAACAGATCTGAGGAGCAGAGTGCCAGGGCTGAATGTACCCCAGCAAGGGAATCTGCATTGGTAACTATCGTAATGCATACTGGCCTATGCAGAGCTACAGATGTGCATCTGTGCGCATGTGCAAGGGTTATAACCTTGCTCCTTTGGGGCCCTTCTTGCCTAGTGGGACAGAGGCCACGCAGGGCCCGGGGGACTCATCCAAGCCAGGATCGGCAGTCTGGTTCCAGAGGGTTGAATGTCAGCACTGCCCAGAAAACAGTCTCTTGCCCCTCCAATTTCTTTTTGCACTGGTTTGCAGATAGTTGATCTGGCCGATGGTTTGGCCAATGCCTTTCCCACTCTGATCCATACCCTATTTCTTAGAGTCGACTACGGACAGTTAACACAATCTTGTGACAGTGGGAGGGGTATCCTTGGTGATAGGTGAGGCAAAAGAAGGTCAGCCAATAGATCCTGTGTTCCGGAGTCCCCGGGGGCCGCGGTGGGCAGCTGAAGCAAGGAAGGAAATGGCCAAGGCTCATGCTTGCTGGAGACCCTTGCTGAAGACACAGCCCAGATGCACGCTGGTGCTTCTGCCCGTGTGCAGGATTTGTGCTGGACAATTCACAGGACGTTTGGGGGTGATCTCAGCACACTTTCTTATCCATGGCACAAAGCCACCTGCTTATCCAAACAAGATTGCTTGAGCCCTGAGAGGTGCTGGGCTGTTTTAGGTTCTGGGTACAACAATAAAGATCCCTGTGCCCAGGGAGCTGACCGTGCATTGCAGGAAGGCTGTGCATTTCCCACTCGTGTTTGATGTTTCGCTGCGTCCATTGCAGCCACTCAGCTTTACAAAGGAGCCATGGAAAACATGAGCCCAGAGGAGCGTGGCTGTGCTCCAGAATGACTTCGTCTCTGTGGTGGGTTGCCGCCTGGTCCTCGGGATCTGTTCTAGGCAGTAGCACACTGAGTCCGGTTCTAGGGCAAAAGATGGCAGAGAGGCTTCAGGCTCAAGATGTTCACACCTTGCTGAAGACCGTCATCCCGAGACTCATACCAGAACACCTTGTTCCAGCCCAGCTGCTGCCACCTTTCACCTTCAGCATGCTTGGCAAATGAGGCCAGCGAGCAAAGTGTGCTGCCAAGTGACATTTTGTGCTATGCTGAGCTCTGTGCCTGCATTTTCAAGTTCCAGCTCCCAGTACCCTCTAAAGTGGCTATATTTGGATAAAGGATCTTGAAAGGGTGATTAACATAAAACAAGGTCCAAATGCAGTGTGAGTAGTGTCCCACAGCAGAGGAGCTCAGGACACAGATAGACACAAAAGGGCGACTGAGTGAGGACCCTGGGAGAAGATGCCAAGGAGGGTGGTTCCAGGGGAAGCCAACCTGGCCAACACCTTGACCTTGACTTCAACCTCTTGGCCTGGAATGGAGCTGGTGGGGTGTGTGGCCCTCTGTTATGGCCACTCTACCTGAGTAGAAGGCACCCAGCCCTGAGCACTGGGCTCTAGGGTAACCAGGATGAATCATGAAGTGTCTTTTCCCCAGTCTGCTCTCGCTCTGACGCAGGGAACACTCCTAAAGCTCTTGCTCTTCTTCCTCCTTCGCTTCACGGCCCTGGCATGAGCAGCGGCACAGCTGCTTTTCCATGCCTGGGAGGTGAAAAAGAAAAGGACTGAGAGACAGAGAGGGTGGGAAGAGGCTACAGGGGATTGCCCCTCCCCTGGCCACAGGGTGGAGCGGAGGCAGTCTGCACCTTTTTCCTGCTGAGGGAGGCTGCGCTGTCTTTCCTGGGAGTTAGGACAGGTGTGGGTGCTGGGCACCTGCTCCAGGGGCTGATGTTCCATGGGAGACCCACCTGCGCTGTCTCAGTGTCATGAGCAAAGGTCCTGTGCGTCCCTCTGTCATGAAGGGCTTTTTCTGAGAAAGCTGAGAATCGAGACCCTCCCGAGAGAGAGCACCTCTCCGAAGTCACCAAGCCCCTGCCTGGTTCCTGCCATGCTCAGGAGTCAAAGGTCTCAGTACCTGCAAGTGTGACCCTTCCCCATGCCCTGGTCCAGCACCAGCTGTGGCCAAACTCTGCACCTACATCATGCCAGGTACCCAGGTACCCAGGAGGCAGGTTGGCCATCCCTGAGACCCCCCTGCCTCTCTCAGGGAGGATACTGAGGGCCCTCAGGACTTGTTCCATTCCTGGGCATTGGCTTGTGTTTCCACATCTCTGAGCTCTTTGGTTCTCAGTTGGAAGCCTCTGTCAGGGTTTACTGGGCATCAGTTGGGCCGACCGCTGTAAGAAGGAGATGACAATGAACTCGGTCAGTTGGTGTCACAGGGAGGCTCTGTGTTCACAGGGGTCCTGTTCAGAGAAGGAGCACAGCTGAGGCCACCTTCAGCAGCTGTGAGGAAAGGCACAGCTTCAAACACCACACTCCTTCAAAAGTGCCATTCACCCCCTGAAAACTTGGATGAGAAGTGAGATATAAACTTTCTTGATTCAGAATTGAGTGCTCTGAAAGGATGATGAGCAGGCTGGAGAGCTGTCTCATCTGTTTTTATACCACGGTGGCCCTGGTGCTCCAGCCTAGATGGCTCTCGAGTCCCTGTGACTGGGGTGACCACTGGGACAGAGGTGGCAGAAGGGAGCCTGGACATGGGGCACTGCAGCTCTGGGCTCTTGGTCCACAGGATGGTGGGGAGGGGATTACTTATGGGATAAGTGGGTCCTGGGGGTACTCAGGATGTGAAGCGCTGATGAGCCTGTGGAGACAGGATCTCTGCAGGAACTGGCTGGCTGTAACTTTTTGGTCTGTGGAGAAATGTGAACCTTGGGCAGGGGGGCAGTATGTTACCGGGTTTGTGGTACGTCTGAGGTCCATGCCAAGTTGGGAGCCTAGGACTGTGGCACAGGATGTGGGGTGCACTGGGCACTCCCTGCGGCATGCAGCTCGTAGTGCTTCCATATTTGGCTTAGCCCTGGGAAGACGAGACCAGAGATAGCACAGTGTTTCTGCCTTTTCCTTCAGGGCTTACAGATAGGTCCCCTCCAGTGACAGGGGCGCTGTTTCAATTAAAAACAGGGGTTGCATTTTCCCTGGAAAGAATATCGGGTTAACAGGCAGCTGGGTTTTGGCAGAGACACCCACCTCATCTTGGGGCAGAGACACTGGCCCCAAATACCCTCACCTCCTACTGGTCCCATCTCTCCATCGCTGGTCTCAGCCAGGGAAAGAAAAGGACCCAGGACAGCAAGGGCAGGTTCTGCCTACCAACCTGCTCTGAACCAGAGCTATCAGTGCCTCAAGCCCCCCAATCTTGGCCACCCCGATGGGCTTTTTCTCTGGACCAGGCCCATCCTGTGAGCCAGAGGGGAGCCCAGTGCAGGCACAGGGGCAGCAGGGTCCCAGCCTTTCTCCACCTGACCCCATGGTACTGGCTGGGACTGCCCGGAAAGATGCACGGTCGTGGAGCACACAGGAAGTGAGCAGGGCAAGGCCCTTCCTGCCTCTCGGGCGAGCAGGTGTCCTCAGGTCAGGGGTGCCTGGGGACCCCTGAGGAAGCAGCCCTCCGCTCGGGCCCCAGCCAGCTCTCGGCTGTCTACTTAGCCGGGGTCACTCCTTTTCTATTTTTCTGTCACACTTCTACGGTGGAAAAGGAAAGGAAGGAGGGAAGGAGAAGAGGAAAAAAGGAAAAGGAAAGAGAAGAAAAGCGGGCTTTAAATGAAAGCAGTGCATTTCCAGCCCACCCATCACGGTTCTACCCAGAGAATTTTGTGGACTGTGTCTGTCCTTTCCGCTTCCCCTGCCGGCCTCCGTGTCTTAGGGTCATGGTGCTTCCTTCCATTTACTGCTTGAGATACCATCGTTCTTTTCCTCAACCCATGAAAAGCTCTTCCTTCCTTCCTTCCTTCCTTCCCTCCCTCCCTCCTTTCTTGCTTCCCTCCCATTCTGTGATGGTTATTTGACTCTGTCAACATGAGTAACAGCAGGTTGACTAAATCAGCTCGGCAATTCCACACCCCAGGGTGGCGTGTTGCCTGGATGCTATAAGGGGAAGTGAAGCACAGAGCTGCTTCTGTTTCTGTGGAAGGTCTCCAGACTTGGGGCATCATCTCCTGGTCTTCAGTGCAGGCTCTCCAGCTTCTGGTGCAGGTCTTTTGGCCTTCTGGTGCAGACTGTTTAGCCTTTTACCGCAGACCCATCAGCCTCCTGATGCAGATTTGCACGGGACACTGCCCTGGGCTCCAGACCGTCCACTGAATGCTTCCATCTCCAGTGTGCAGACAGACCTGCATTCATCCACATCTGTTGGTGGCCATTGTGAGCCAATCTTGTAAATTACTACATACTTGTATATCATGTGTTATGCCTGTTCCTCTATTAAACACTGACTGATACAGATTTTGATGTGGTTTTGATACCAGAGAAGTGGGGTTGTTGCTGTGACCATGTGGTTCAGGAGCCTTTGGCATCAGCTTGTGGGGAGAGTTTGGAAAGTTTCAGAGATGCTAGCTGAAAAAGTAGCCATGGAATGCCTTATACTGATGGGAAGTTCTGGTCAGAGCTCAGAAGAAAATTTGCCAGTAAAGTCCAGGCTTGGGAGGTTTTTGCTGGGAAGAAGGACTTCATTGGTTATTGAACTCCTAATTATGTGTGTTATGGTTTGGCAGAAAGTTTGTCTGCATTTTGCTTGTGTCCAGAGACTTTGCCTGAGATGGAGGATAGTGAATTAACTAACCTGGCAGAAGTAATTTCAAGATAGCCTAATGTTGAAGCTATGGCATGGCTATTAGGGGCTTTTAGCCAGATCTATGTTGAAATTGAGTGCAGAGCCCAGCAGAATGATTTAAAACATTTTGAGTTTGCCCAGAAGGGAATCTCCAGTAAAGTAGCAGCCCACAAAGATGGAATAGAGGAGAAACTGGTTGTTGAAAAGAATAGCAAGAACAAGCTAAATATTTAAGAAGAACACAACAGGAAAGATGGCCTGAAGACATCAAATGAACCAGCAAAACTCTAGTCCTTGCAGCCTCAGAGTTGCAAATGTAAAAGACCTGGCTTTGAGAAGAAAGCCCCAGAGCACCATGTTCCAGAATGGCGGTGGCCTACAGAATTTGTTCCTCAGGATTTGGTTCATAGGCTCAACTGCTATAGTCAAAAGAGAAGGAGCCTGGCCACTGTTCCAGTTGGCAGCAAATCTTGGTGTCATCCATGTCATGCTGGTACATCCAGAATGCAAGAGTTAAGGGGTCAGAAAGGCTTCACCAAGATTTTAGAAGACAGCCCGGGAGGCCAGGCAGCGTGCCCCTGAGAAGATAGTGTGTGAAACTGTGAGTGTGAACCTGAAGGTAGAGTGGAGACCCCAGAAGTTTGAAAAAGCCAGGAATGTGGGTCATCTGAGGCAAACTGCAAGGAGGAAGCAGAGTCAGCCCCGGGGAGAGTCCATGGGAGCTACAACCACCAGCAGGGCCATGAGGTGGAGCCACCCAAAGCCTCTGTAGCTCACGATTTGCCACAGATTGCCAGAGATGCTGACAGTGAAACTGCAGGATTTAATGTTTGCCCTGCTGGATTTTGGTTTTGCTTTGTTCCTGTTCCTTGCTATACCTGGTTGTAACTTTTGGAATGGAAAGTCTATCTTGTGCTATGGAATGTTGGAAGTATGTAACTTTCTTTTCACTTGTACAGGGGGTTGTAGCTAAGAGTTTACCTTACATCTCAGAGGAGACTTTGGACTTGACTTTTCAGCAATGCTGAAACTGTTAACTTTGGCAACTCTTAGACCAGATCCCTTTTGTATAAAGGAGTATGCATGAGTCTTTGGAGGAAGACAGAGGTGGCCTATGTCTAGATGTCCCCCAAAGCCTCACGCAGGCGTAGGCAGGGCTTTTTCAGAGGCAGACTATGTGACACTAGAACCGATTCATGGTGCACTGCTAGGGTCAAGGGCACTAGGATGAAGGGTGCAAGTGCTACTGCCCTGAGTAGCCTGGATAAGAAATGAGGGACCACTGCTGTGGTCACCCCTTGTTTGCTTCGCTATCTTCTGCCCACCATGAACTGTTTCTCCTCTGCAATGCCTGTCTGCTCTGCCACCCTGCCCTGGAGCCAGCCGACTACAGACTGAACCCGCTGCTAACTATGAGCTAAGTAAACCTTTGTCCTTTAACTTTGTGTGTCAGGCGTGTTGTCCCAGCAACAACAGAAAAGTAACCAAGACATTTCCCTTCCCTTTTTCTTTCTTCCTCCCTTCCTTCCTTCTTTCCTCTCTCTCTTTCTTTTTTTTTTTCCTCTCTCCTTTTTTAAAATTTACTTTTACTTCCCTTATTAGGTTTTGGTTGTGGCATCCATAGTAACATTTGTTTGGGGAGTCTTCACATATAAAAATCATACCTTGGTCATTTTTGTTTGTATTTTACACCATTTATTTCCAATTCCCTAGTCCTATTCCAATCCTGTTTTTGAGAGGTGTTCATCCTACTCCATGCTCTGCTATATTCCCTAAATAGAAGTGTCCCTGTGAAGTGGCTTATTTATTTATTTATATTTGTTTTAATCTACCTGGAC